GAGAGAGAGAGAGAGAGAGAGAGAGAGAGAGAGAGAGAGAGAGAGAGAGAGAGAGAGAGAGAGAGAGGTTGGAGGAAGAGAACATAGCCCGTGGTAGAGAGAAGAGAGAGGTAGGGAAGCTAACCTGGATTTACGTGCTGGTGTTGCCATTGACGGAGAAAGCAGCACTCTGCTCTTGAAAGACCTGCACTATGTGTATGGTACTTCATAGCGCAAGTTTGTGGAGCCAGCAACAGTCTGATATCGCTTGGACAGAGAGACTGTACATTTTTTTGTCTCTCCTCCCTCTCTTTTCCTCAGCGCTAGCGGTTGGCCAGCAGCGCTCCAGTCTCACACGCATGGCAAAATGCATGAAATGACCGACCGTCACCGACGGTCAGGGCAGGCCGACTTTGTCGACTTGATCATGTTTGACCGGCCTGCTCCCTCTCTGTACCAGCCGTCAAACATGATCCCAGGCTCTGCACCAGCCGTCAAACATGATCCCAGGTTCTGTACCAGCCGTCAAACATGATCCCAGGCTCTGTACCAGCCGTCAAACATGATCCCAGGCTCTGTACCAGCCGTCAAACATGGGAGCGGAGCCTGGGATCATGTTTGACGGCTGGTACAGACAGCATTCTGAGGCTGCGTTGACCCAGCAGAGCCTGGATGCTTCTGGAAACAGATCTCAAGTCAAGCCGTTGGATGGTGTGTGATCTGTGGCCAGGGATGACTTCTGGAGGAGTGTACAACTCTCAAACTTCTGGACCTGGTAAACTAAGCTGGACTGTTGACTTTCCATGGGGCTGGTTTGACATTTTCTCGGGCCCTGGGGACTCCGTCTGGATGCTAAAGCCCCCTTCTTCACCCGAATAGAACACTCGGTCGTTAAAGCTGCATTTGTGGCAACTTTCCGTCCAGATGCAGCGGTCATTACCGGGTGTTCTATTCGGGTGAAGACAGTAGTCTACAAACCTGGAGACCTCTGTTTGTCTCCCCCCGCCGCCGCCCCCCCCCATTCTCCCTCCTCAGAATAGATAATAGTTCCATTCAGCTTTGATGTCCTATGCAGGTATCATGCTTGGGAGAGGGAGGTAGTTCCCATGAGTCCCATCTTCTTATCAGCTGCTTGGTGGTTGAGACCTACCTGCAACTGACTTTTTTCTAATATATCACTAGTTTAGGCATCAGCAGAGGAGGATGCTACATAAGGATTGTCCACGATAGTCGGGGAATTCTTTGCCTTGGAGGGGGGGGGGGGGGGGGGGGGGGGGGGGGGGGGGGGGAGAGGGGGGGGAGGGGAAGGGGAGGGGAAGAGGGCCCTAGAGGGAATTCTAGTATTCTACTCATCCCCATAATAAACTACAATAGACTCTTTGGAGTCTTTCCTTGTTTTTCTTCTTGCTGAATGCCATCAGCAGTGTCCTCCAGGACATCCGTTAAAATTAGAACGATACAGAGAAAATTAGCACGGGCCCTGCACAAGGATGACACGCATAAATAGAGAAATGGTCCAAATTACAAAAAAGAAAAAGAAAAAGAAAAAGAAAAAGAAAAACTTCAAAAAAAGCCATCAGCAGAGGTGATTCTACTCAATCATCTCCATGCCCTTTCCCCCTTGCCTCCCAAGCCAGTCAAATATCCACACTGCGTCAGTCTTCAATGTTCAAACTGAATCCCCTCCGTCCACTCACCTGATCATCATCGACGAGCCCCCAGATAAGAGGCATGATAAGCAGAGCCCCTCTCACAAGCCGGACTGGTAGCGACTGGAATGGCATGATGCACGGCTGGGTTGATCGCGCAAGAGCATTGTCGTTCGAAGACAATAGCTCAACAGTGACCTGAAAGCACATAATCCAAATTTCAAAATTCAAAAACAGAAAACAAGAAGTTGAATCCAAATCGTAAAAAAGACAATCAGGGCATCCTTTTCTTTCTTTCTTTCTTTCTTTCTTTCTTTCTTTCTTTCTTTCTTACTCTTTCTTTCTTTCTTTCTTTTTTTTTTTTTTTTTTCTAACGATCAGGGCATCTTTTTATCGAAGAAAAAGAACAATGAACATCACTTTCTTCTTTTTCTTGTGATGCAATGCAATGTTGCCCAAAACAAGCTCTCCTTGATTTGTTTATTCCTTTCGTTATCTTTTTCCTTTTACTTCATTTTCCTTTCCCTTTCGTTATGTTTTTCCTTTTGATTGTGTGATGAGACACACAAGTAGAATACCATGAAACGGCATGAATACACACATCATCACACATGCATACACACACAGATTACTCACGTATACTCGAGTACAAAGTACGAAAGCACAGATTGTACGATTGATTGCAAGCCGGCGGGTCAGGGCACCCCGACCAGTTTCAACTACTGCCACATGGTCATCCTCAGGGGGATTTCCACCACACACTGATGCCCTAGGCTGGCGTCGTCCCACACACCCACCTCCGCTGTTTGACTCGGCACACATCTCTGGAAATGCCCGCAGGTCTATCTGCATAGAACCCGGAAAGGAGCTAAGGTTACGCAATCGTGGCTCATATAGTCTACACCTCCTAGTCTGAAAAAAAAAAAAAAAAAAAAAAAAAAAAAAAAACAACAACTCCTAGTCTAACACGCACACCCAAACATCAGGAGGCCCATAGTTCGAGGTGCAATCCTCGCACGTATCACAAATGTGTAGTCCTACGTCCACTACAGTTCCTACGACATCTGCGGGACCACGGTCCCACTACCTTCCAGGCTTCCAGCAAAGAGCACGGTACCCTACGTGGACCAGCACTACACTGCAGCAGAAATACACAGATCGAATGGCAACCAGTAATACATTCAAACAAGGGACTAAAGTACACACCTGATCTATTATTTGTCCAAAGATTCAAAGAATCCAGTCTCAACCGGTACATCACCGACCCAGAAAACAAAAACAAAAAAACATTTGTCGGTTCCAAGCACGGCTACTGAAAACCTGGTACAGCATTCGAGCTCGACATCGCGACAGACAGTCCCAGCGTCCCATAACGAGTACATTCAGAAAACTCGTCAGAAAATTTCCTGAAAATGAGACTAGGAACCTACTAGAAAAATCCAATTGGCCTAAGAATAGAATTTTGAAAATTGAGATACCGGGGCCATTACCCGGCTTTGGCTCAGA